AACCAGGCTCAGGGAGGTGCGGCCATCTGCTGCGACCGGTTGGGGTGAGAGAAGAAAAACAGGACAAAGGACATGCTGTGGAAGAGAGACAGAGGTTAATAACAGATATGATTCAATGCAGAGAGGTCTAACTGTAGCTGTTTTCTGTGGCCAAGTTACAGGCACCTTCAGACCTGGTGGGTGTGGCCCTGCTAGGTGACTTGCCACACACCTGCTGCTGATCTGGGCTCGTCGGGTGAGCTATTTAGGAGAGCGATGGAGCTTCTTCCGACGCGGGATCATTGCGTGTGACTCGTTAGTCTTTAGTTAGTTAAGTTAGTGTGTGTGTTTGCCCGCGGTTGTATGTGTCCTGACGGCTGCTTCTACGGTTTTCCCAGGAGAGGTGTGGAGTACCAGACAGCAGCCAGCATGGGGAGTGCTGAGACACGGGAGAGGAGAGCACCAAGACACGGACTTGTCAGGGAAGACACGACACAGGAGTCAGGGGAGAGCACAGGGATTTATTGTTATTTTCCATTCACTGTAAATAAACGCACTGCTGATATTCAGAGCTCAGCGCCTGGGTCCTCCTTTCCTCACTTCACCACGGTCATGGCAGACCGTGACAGAATGATGCCGCCAGTCTTGTTTCCCCTGGGTATTGGATACGCTTTACCCGATCGTTGCGGGCTTTCTCATTAACACACTCCACCTCCACTCTCCATCTCAGGCTGCTCTTCAGCCCGGGCCAACTGGTGGATCCTAAGCCTGACACGCCGGCCCTGACGTCTACACGGAAACAACGTTCGTGCCGCCAGCGCTCCTCACCGCAGCCGAATTCCCGGACATCTCATAATAAGGACAATTTTTCATTTCCCTCACCACCTGCTTTTGTGTCTGCAGATGCCGATGACATCGCTGATGCTGCTGTGAGCCAGCCGTTAGCGCAGGTAGCATCACCTTAGTCTGAGGTCTCCACGACACTTGCTGCTTCACCATCTGCAGCTGTTGTGCATGCCTGCCAGCCACCACTCTGCCATCCTCTCCACCACCTGCTGCTACGACGCCACCCGGACCTGCTCAGCCTGAGCATGATGCATTGAGTTTTTCCTTTCCAGTCACCTTTCTCACTCACTATGTGTTAATAGACCTCTCTGTATTGAATCATATCTGTTATTAATCTCTGTCTCTCTTCCACAGCATGTCTTATATCCTGTCTTCCTTCTCTCACCCCAACCGGTCGCAGCAGATGGCCGCCCCTCCCTGAGCCTGGTTCTGCCGGAGGTTTCTTCCTGTTAAAAGGGAGTTTTTCCTTCCCACTGTCGCCAAAGTGCTTGCTCATAGGGGGTCATATGATTGTTGGGCTTTTCTCTGTATCTATGAAGCGCCTTGAGGCGACATTTGTTGTGATTTGGCGCTATATAAATAAAATTGAATTGAATTGAATTGAATTGAGCTGGAGGAGCTCGCGCCGCCCGAGCAGGAGCTCAGCGAGCCGGCAGTGGTGAGCAACATGGACAATTTTTCTTTACACACCTCATCTGTGTATGTTACCCCGGTCTTTGTAAATCCTAACACCGTAGCCGTAGCACAGCCCGTAGCCGTAGCACAGCCCGTAGCCGTAGCACAGCCCGTCACTCAGTCTGCTGCACAGCCCGTCACTCAGTCTGCTGCCCAGCTAGTCACTCAGTCAGCCGCTGAAGCCCTATCAGCTTCTCAGCTGGTAGCTCAACCGGCAGCCCAGCCACTTCCATCCTCTGCTGGATGTTCTGGGGAGCTCGGTCTGCCAAGTAAGGACTGTTTATCTGAGCTGGAACAGACCGTCTGCCCCGCACAGCCCCAGCCCCAGCATCACAAGCCGGCTGTGAGCCCTGTGCAGTCTCAACCAGCTTCATCTCGGCACGAGGTCTCTACACATGCTGGTCCCACGTTAGTTGCTGCTAAAGGGTCCCAGGGGCTGCTTCAGCAGTCAACTGTTTCACCATCCACATCACCTACTCTACTATCATCTCCACCGCCTGCAGCTGCTGTATCACCACTATCACCTTCGGATCAACCATCTGTTGCTGCAGCACTGTCGGACGAACCTGCGCTGCCACCAGAGGAGCTCAGCGAGCCGGAGCAGGAGCTCAGCAACCGGGAGGAACCTGCGCCACCAGCTGTGGAGCTCGGCGAGCGGGAGGAGCGCGCGTCGCCAGTAGAAGAGCTGTACGTGAGCAGGAGGAGCGCGCACTGGCCGCGGAGGACCTCAGCAAACCAGAGGGACCAGCACGGCCACGACCAGCACGTCATAGATCATGTGCCACACCTCGCTGTTGCTCACCGGAGCAGCGTTGCTGCCGCCGGACCCGTGGCCGCCCGCCAGAGCTGCAGCGCCACCACCACTGGACGCATGGCAGGCCACCAGAGATGCAGCACCGCTGCCACTGGATCAGTGGCAGGGCACCAGAACCATTTCCCCGCTGCTGCCGGACCCGTGGCCGCCCGCCGGAGCTGCAGCGCTTCCACCAAGGGGTTAGAGGTAGGCCGCCTGAACTGTTTTGCTTCCACCTTAGTAACTGGGAGGTTGTTAAACTGTTTTGTTGCCTCCACTGGAGTCGCGGTTGAGCCTCTGACTTTTGAACTTGACGGGATGGTCATTTGGGGGTTTGATTCAGCAAACTTCTTCTTCCCGGGGCAGATTAATGTCCACGTTTACTGCTGGTAGATAAAGACCTTGATGGTACCAGGGATCTTCAGCTAAACCGGCCAGGTTGTTTTCCATGTCAGCTGCTGGAACAGGTAGCGCTTCATTGTCCCAGGGACCTTCTACTCCTACTGCTGGATTTAATCCTATGCCAGCTGCTTGCATAGCTAGGTTCATTTGTGCCTCTACCTCAATACTCCCAAGCCATAGAGTATTATAAAAGATTTATATCACAGTTTCCAGGCTGAATTCACTGAAGAGACCACGCATTATAGTATCCCAGAGCAAACTCATCTCTGGACCTACTGCATCGTAATGTTCAAAGCACTCCACTAAATGTAGCAGCAGGCGAAATCTTAGCTCCCCATCTAGAAATAGAGAAATATTTTATAATTAACACTCATGATGAGAGAGCAATCCACAAATTCCAGTTTGTCCTATATTACATGCAATATTGATGCACCTGGAAACTAAATGCTTAAAAACTACAAAGGTGAGGTTATGAACTAAATAAAATGTATAGAAGTCCATTACTGTAAATAGTAACTATTAAGTCTAATATACCCTAGTAAGCTATAGTACATTTTCCTTTGGGAAGGTACGATCTGTGCAGTCTGCAGTTCTGTTGAAGAAAGATGTTGTTTAATTATTCTTGAAAAATAATTGATTTCTGTGCATTTTTTTTTCCACACTGCATCAAATTAAAGTTGATTACGTTGATTAAGCATCATGAGGTGGGGGGTGGTTCCCTTTTTTTTTTTTTTTTCTGGGAGTTTGCAACCCTATTAGTTAGGTTGCTTACTCTTTAAAATACCAGAATATCGACGATGGAGTAGGTTTAAGTTTATTAGATTGATCTGTATTGCTGAACTATGAAATATTTTGGGTGCAGTGTATTTTTTGTATACAGGTATAACAGAATAGCTTTAGTGGTTTGTTTTGTTTTTTAAACTTGAGTATAAACTTATACAAAATGCAGCAAGATATTTAAAAAACAGTTTTATTGATTAAAAACACACAATATCGGATTCATATCAGTATCGGACATAAAAAAGTGGTATCATGCCATCTCTAATTTGTACAGTATGAATGATTTTCTTTGGTACCTGGTCCAACTTAAGCTCTCCTCTGTCTGCCTGTCTGCACTTCTCCTACAGCAAACGCGCAGGTAATTAAGTAATCACACCATTACTTAATAAAACGGAATTACCACCAGAGGAAGGCGATGCAGAGAGTGACAAAAACTTAACTCAAGGGACACAAGACGTGTGTCAGGACTGAATCTTGGGCCTCTGTCTTCTGGGGTGGGCACGCTGTTGTCACCAGGATGTGTGACCTCAGATCTTCAGTACTCTTGGACAGCTGGTCAACATTCGGGGAAGACAAGAAGTAGAAGTACTTTCAAGATGCAGCTCCACTGAGGGCACAGACAGCTTACACTGAGATTAGAGAGTTCAGACTTTCAAAAAGCATCTGAAACAGCTCAGGTTTGGAAAGAAAGCTTTTAGATGTTTTAAATAAAAAAATATTTAAGCATTGTAGTGGGTTTTACGTGACATATATATATTGCTAGCCCTGTGATAAATTGTTAGCTTGCTGAGGGTGTACCCTGCCTTTGTCTCCTTGTGGCAGCTGGGATAGACTAACACCCTTTGCTGCCATCAATTGGATACAATGTATTCCAATTATTCTATCTGAATGTTTACAAACTCAAAGTATGTAATGAAAGTGTAAGTGATGACCAGTTCACAAATTTAGAAAGTAGACATAAAAAGTAATTGTACAGCTTAAACGTGACACATGAGTACAACAACATGTGGTCTGAAAAACAGCAGTTTTGTATGTATTTTTAATGGATTTATTCTAAGTTTATGAGAGTGCATCAATTTTACAGGACGTAATTACACACTAATCTATGACAGACTGTATCTTTAAAATAAAAATGTGTGTAACAACACCAATGACAACAAACCCATGAAAATGATAGTAGTGAAAGTGATATGACACTGCAACAATTTTAGAAATGATTACAAAATTAATGTAAAGGACCAGACCTGAATATAACAACCACAAAGTGAAAAATACTGGCAGGAGCCAGTGCTACCTCTCAGCCTCTTAGTAGATGCACTAAGGGTATACATTTTAAAATCATTTGAGAGGTAAGTACTTCATTTTCCAGTAAAATTTGAATACATTTGAGTCCATGTCCGGACTCATAATTTCACTTTCACTCTGTGTTCAGTAGAGTCATTTGTAGGTGTGGTTTAGCTCATGCTGCCTGTTGAAGAAGCTGCAGCACAGTCTTTGCCTTTAACTTCTTACTCCACTTCAGTTGGCTACACAACACCGTTTAGACTGAACATCGACAGAAGCAATTACAACCCAAGCATGGCTGCCAAGTTTGGTAAGTCATCATGTTAGTCATGTTTTCTAGTGTTACAGCAGTGATCATGGCTGATTTAAAATCATGGTTGGTTGGCAGGTAGGTCGATAGATTATAAAAACAAAAACAAGATCATTGAGGTTAGTATTAGACACAGACCTGTGATGGTTTAAATAAATGTTTTAAGTCTGAAAGGGAGTAGGTAGCAGCTTAATGTTTATCAAGACCTACCCCATTATACAAAAATGAACAAAAACTACAAAACTACTTTTGCACTGCTTACATTTTCATTAGCTAATAATAATAACAAGCAATAATAATGGGCAATAGGAAAACAAAGAGAAAGACTCACTGTTCTCCTTTGGTCATTACTATTGGCCATAGTGCTCCTTTCTAACCATGTCAACCTGCTCCTTATTTAAACCAAGTCTCTGAGACAGCAGTTTGTGAATTTTGCTCTGAGATGTGGAAGAGAGGTCGTAACTTTTGAATGTCCGTACTTAGGATTCCTGCTATTAAATATGTTATGCACTGTAACATTATAGTTACATGGTATAAGCAGTGATGGGAATAACGGCATTACAAGTAACGGCGTTACTAACGGCGTTACTTATTTCAGTAACGAGTAATCTAACTAATTACTATTCCTATCGTTACAACGCCGTTACAGTTACTAACAAGAAAATCCGGTCCGTTACAATTTTTCAACAAACAGACGGTTGAAGCTGTGTTCAGCTTACCGCATCTTATATTAGTTGCACGGAAGTAGCTGACTACGTAAGTAATCTGGATGCTACAGCTTTAAGCAGCTGCGCGTGGTCCCTCGGACGGTAATCACGATCACTGTCTAGCACACCTGGAGCTAAGGGGGCAAAACAATCGCATGAGTGCTGCTGTTTGAAATAATTTGTGTGGCATCTTATTGAATGCAGAACAGCTGATTGTTCTGTAAATAGTTTGAAATGGTTATTTAAAAAAGGGTAAAAGGTAAATGGATGCAAATAACTTTGTTGTTTGCAAAACTTGTGCATAGGATTTTAAAATTGACAATTTATATTTGCATTTAAAGTTATGAA